ATAACCTTCTGTATTTGTCTTTGAAATCAGTTATTGTCACTTTGGTCAAATATATAATTAAGTATTGTTTCATAATAATCTGTGATCCTTACTTAGTCAAATGTCCAAATCTGTTGGTATTTTTGACAAACCTCCTTAAATCAAATTCTAAATGAAGTCTTTTCGGAACCCAAACTAACTGAGATTTCTGAGAGGGACCCCGAGAGAACAGAAGGGAAACTTGCAAAGCAAAAAAAACTTTAGTCTAAGGACAGTGTGGCTGATAACAGGCAGCATCTTATCTCTGAAGTGGAAGAGCCGACTCTTTCATAAAAAGAACATGAGACTTAGAGTCCAGGACCTGCGTTCAGATCCCAGCTCTGAGTATAAGTCAGTGAGTGACCTTGAATGAGCATAGCTTAGCAGAGTTGTTTCCTTAGCTCTAAATATGTAGTTATTTATTATACTTATCACACTCATCTTTGTGATGGTTATTATAGGATTTTTGTGAAAATTTTCACACACCATTGAGTCTCCCTCTGAAGAAACCACAAAGAGATGAAAGCATATATGCTATTCCCATTTACATGCCTCAGTGCCCTAAGCTCTAGGCTTGGAGCACTATTCCTGCTTTGACCACAACATGAACAGAGGTGCCCTGGCTAGTGAGATCTAACAATACATTCCATTATTGACCTATGAGAGCATTTGACATTAATTAAAGCTATAAAATATCTTTAGGCACTACATGCCACGTTTACTGACTTGTTTGCCTCAAAATTTCATTCTTAGTTTAAAAATACAAGTTGTTTGTTCCTAACTACAACTGGACTTGGCGTCTACTTAATTGCCCTGTCAGCAGGCAGATCACTGTGTCTTTAATCACAGCGTCAGGCAAATGAGATCCTGCTACCAAGTCGAAGTTGCTTTTGAGAACAGTCCATTAGTATCTGCCATAAAACTGACACACTAAATCTTATCACAAAGTTTTTTGAAAACAAGCTAATAAACATCTCTTCTGCAGATTTCAACACATGAGTAAATCATCTTCCCTTTGATAGAGAACTATGTGGGTTTAAAGCTTAGCAACTAAAACTGCCCAACTATTATATGTTATGGAGTCAAAGAATACAGGTACTAAATAGTTGTTTTCAAAGGTAGGTAGTGGTGGAGAGATGTAAAGCAATTAAATCTAAATTATCATCCTCAGATTGAGGATGGAGTATTTCATGCCCCTGAGAAAAGTTACATACTGCCCTGTGGTCAGTGCTCTTACTAAAGCTATGTAGACTTCTGGTCTGGCTATGGTTCCTGCATCCTCATCCTATTACACTACCCTATGCTCTTTGAGATTTTCAGTTGCTACACAGTAGGGCAGATGCCAGTTTTCTAACTTTCCTTGTTAATAATGGGGATGGCCACTAAAAGTTCTTTTTCCCTCCTTCTATATATTTACAATAATGAGAGACACACAGATATTTCTGTTTATCAGGTTATAACTTAAACATATGCATATAAAGCTGTGGTCCAAAGCAAACACATCAACTTCCTCCATCAAAAGACAGCATTAGTGTTATTCAATTATTCTGAAGTTCACTGAGTTTATTTGTTAAGTGTTTAATAACTATGAATAAACCATCATGTCTTATAAGTACAAAATGTGAAACATCACCATGTCACCAAAGCAGAGAATTTTAAAGGTTAAAATGGTGAGAAAATAAATTACTTATATGAAACTACCAGTGGAATGAATAGATAAACGATCGAGGGGCAAGCCCCAGGACACACTGATATTCAGTGTGAAAAAGGAGCAAAGAAACTAAGGAGTGATGGAGGAGAAGGAAAACTGAGAGAATGTTATGATTCTGGAAGCGAATGAAGAAAAATTGGGTAAGGAAGAGCCATAAAAACTTAATTCAGAAAACAAAACAAAACTCTCAGGTAAAGGGGGCAAATCACAAAAACTAAAGTATCTGCTATTAGATAGAAATGGTTATTAGAAATTTACTTCTCACCTAAATTGATCTGTAAGAATTGTACCCTTACAATAGAGATTAGAAGTGGGTAGGCCCAAAAGAGATCATTTGACAGCTTCCAAGAGGCAATATGATTCTTCATTTTTAAAAGTCAACTACTGAAAAATAAAACCTCCAATCCTGCTTTGACAGCAAGAATTGCCATAAAGGATACATATTCTCTCTCAATTCATCAAGTATAGTTTAATAAACAAGATCTTAGAATTTTTAACATAACCATGACAGCACTTAATTGTAGCTTTGAATCTTTAAAGAAGACCTACATAAATAATTTATTTCCCTAGTTGATTAAGGATCTGGTTTTAACACCCAATCTCATGCTCAAGGCCCAATTCCAGTTTTTACTAATCACTTTTCCAAATGGATATCGTCTCCTTCCTTTGACTCTATATAGTCCTCCCATAAAGCACTCAATCAGCAATCGCATTGTCTTAAAATAACTCATTTTCATACCAGAACTGTATAGATGTTTTACACATGTTTTCTCTAATCCTTACAACAATTTTGCAAAATTGAGTTTATCCATATTTTATTGATGAGGAAAGTAATGCTTAGAGAGGTTACCCAAGGTTGTACAACTAGTAAGGGACAAAACCAGGATTTGAACCGGGTCTGTCTTACTTCAGAGCCTTTACCTCTACCCACTATACCATACTGCCTCTTGCATGAAAGTGCTACCCTAATTATCAGTCACTATCTCTGTAGATCTTGGACAAGTTTTAAAATCTCTCAGTGTCTCAGTCTTCTCATCCATGAAATGAAGATGATATGTCACAGGCACTGTATTGTTTTGAATATTAAATAAGATAATGTATGTACAAGTTCTTTATTACAATACTGGATTCGATACTCCTTCAGGACAAGTTCTTATGTCTTAAATGTGCATGCCCTTCAACACCCAGTAAGGAGTTTAATCAAACACAAGGTTTAAACAGCCTGCATGGCATTTAACTGTCTGGTGTTTCCCCTGCAATGTGGCTTCCGGTGCCATAACAATTTGAGACAAAGAGAAAATCCCAAATGAAAAATATCGACACCTTTTGTAAGAAAACATGCCTGGAAGGAGGGAGAGCGTGAAAAAGGCCTGCTTTGTTGTCGGAGTTAACAGAGGCCTCACAGTTCTGTCACTTCCTGATTTACGGCCTCCTGATGACAACAGCATCTATAGCACTGTTGTCACTCACTGTGAATTTGATTAACTTTCAAGAAAAAAAAAACCAATAACATTAAATTTCCTTAGGCATACTCATTACCCCCACCCCAAATAAGATGGACATATCTGGTGGTGTATCCAAGCAACTGGCCCACTATACTCCAAAGTAAGAGGACTAGATCTGCTACCAGGTAAGCACAGTGGAAGGGAACCAACCCCTGCTCTGCTGTTACGTGATTCTTGGTTTTTGTTAATGATAGATCTGTTTTCCAGTCTGTAAAACGTATGCTAATATTACTTATTTCACCTACTCCACAGATTTATTGCGACAGTCAAATAAAAAAATGTTAAATTAATTTCCAAATTATAAATATATTACCAGCAATAACTAGACGATCACCTACTACTTGTCCTCTGTAAATGTCTGGTATTAGCAAAGCTAAGATACTAATTTCTCTGGGTGTGTTCACCTTGTAGTACCAAAGAGAATTAAGAAAAATCTACTCAGCCTTGAGAAGAACACAACAAATGTTATCTTAACTACAGAAGCTATGGAAGAGATAGTTGGTAAAATTGATCCTTCCACAATGGATCTATAGTCCAAAAAAAAAATGGCTTTTCACAGTTCAGATATGCCCTCTTAAATGTGTGAAAATGGACTATTAGATCAAGAGGTAGCCACATACTGCATATGTGACAAGGGTCACATAGTAGGTCATTTTCCTAGTACCTCATTCTCTGCAGAACACTAAGTGGCTCAGAGTACTAAAAACTAGTCCTTCTCCTTGTCTCCCCATTAATCGTGACAGATGCTTCCTCAACACACCTGGCGAAAAGAGAATAAGGAGAATCGAGAAATCAAAATTATTCTTAGATCCAGGACACATCTACCATCTCTCTTCATGTTTCTTTGACCTAATTCCTTTCTAAACTGAGCATAGGAACTCACAGTGTTGCAGTTTACTAGCTGACTCCTTGAGCTCAGTAATTCTTTGAACTCAGTTAAAAACTTTCACCAAAACTTTAAGTAAAGAAAAACTGTACAAACGCCCATACATAGACCGAAAGTTAGAAAAGATCCAAGTTCATACACAGTATACATACAAAAAAAAAATGTGCCCTAGTATAATTTTTGTTTATAAACTATGTTGAAGTGTAAATACACTTTCAACCACAACAGTAAGAAAAAAAGAAACATAAACACTTTTGAGCAAATCTGGTTCAGTATAAAGAGGCTGAAATCTGCCTTGAAATAATGATAAATATAAATTGCTTGAGCACTTGAAACCCTAATTTCCTATAAAACCCTTACACTTTCCCCTCATTTGGAACTTGCTAAGTTTTCTCAAATAATCTTCTGAATAGAATTCCCATTTCCCAGAAGTACCCCACAAGTGGATGTAATGCTTATTTGTGTCAAGGCCATTGGCTTACTATTTACCTAATTTCTTCACCCTTTTGTTGAAAAAATTTATTGATGCTGACAAAATCATTGCACCATCTTTGTCCCTGATTATGATTTGTACGTCACTTGAAGCAACAATGACCTATCAAGTCTTCTGTATTGGTGTCATTTGTTCCTTTTTTTAAAAAGTTGTTTTTGTTTGTTTAGATTTGGTGAGTTTTAAAATACCAGAGCACACCATGACACGTGTCCTCTGTTTAATGGATGTGTTGACCTTGTCTTAAGAGGCCTTGAACTTCAAGAGTTCCTGAATTGCAGCGAGCATAATGTTCAAGACCAACTTTAACCTGATCCATCTTGCTCTTCTAAGAAGTTTTCCTGTATAAAACAATATCTGTTGCCAGCAAAGAAAAGGAAGCATACTCACCAAGTGAACATAAGGCACAAAGTATCCGAAAAGCGCAAGGGGAATTCCAACTGCCCACACGGCGTACGCTGTCACCTTGAAGACAGCAAAATTGAAAATTTTTCCTGGAGGACTGAACTTTCTAGAAAAGAGGGGGAATCTGTTGCCTCCTTTGGTTCCACTGTCTTTTTCTTTGACACTGGTAGCAAGAGGTCGGTAAGTAAAGCCAGCCAGAAAAAGAACAAACATGAAGATGCAGAGCACTCGCAGTGTGTGAAAGAGGCCCACGTTGTCGATCAGAACCCTCAAAAAGAAAGGCAGCAAAACTGTGAAGATACTGCTGCCAGCGGTGACAATGCCATTCACTAGTCCAAGGCGCTTCTTGAAATAGTATCCCAGAATGACCAATGAAGGCTGGTACGCAAAGGAGCAGCCACAGGCAAATATGATTCCATAGGTAAAGTATAGGGGTTCGATGGAACTGTGTAAAGATAAAAAAGATGGAAAGCAACTTTCACTACTTATATCATGTGCTTGGTAGAATAAAACCTTAGCATAAAAGTGGGTCTTAGTCAGTCAGTGTATTTTCTACAAATAAAATTTAACCAAAAACAGATGAAAATAAACCAAGAATATAGTGCTAAAAATATTTTAATGTGAGCCGAATAGATAATAAAAATGCCTCAAGTATGTGAAAAACTACTATTAAGGTTGTCAGTGATTTTTGTTCCTCCTCCTCCTTCGGTGGATTTCAGGTGAACCACACAGCACTGGGTGAGAGCTGGTGTGCCTGCCACGACTCGTAAAAGACAGTGCCAGGAAGGGCCTCGGTAAAACCGGCAGTAATTAAACTGACAAACAAAAAAATTTAGTCTCAATAAAAGTTTTTTTGGTCATTTAACTATGAAAGCTCATTATTTTATGTGGTTTTCCCAGGCACTTACTAAGCAATCTAGTCAAAGGAAAGGCTGCATTTTACATTTCTCCCACAAGGTTATGTCAGGATCATCTGCATGGAAAAGCAGTTGTGTCTCAATTCTGCTGGCTTAAGGGCTGCAGACCAACCTTCGCCCTATATTGCGCTCTTCTCAGTTTGTGCAAGATAACAAATCATATTTCTGAATGCAGAAAGACTACATGAAGTATGTTCATTGGTGATTCTAGTTTGTAAGCTTTAAGGCTATGTCTCAAAAGAATAATAAAAGATTAAGAATTTGACAGTTTAACCAAATAACTTAATTACATATTTCTTAGGAAAGTAAAGGATCATATCGTTACATTCTTTGAAACAATTAAGGTAAGGAGTAAAAGAAAACTAAAGTTTTTTCTTTTGAAATGTCTAATTCAAAAGGCTATTTATCAACATAGTAAAGTCAAACTATTAATTAATGAAACTAATATAAAATTGGTTAATAATTAAATTTTGGACAATAATACTAGTCTAGCAAAATGCTGAGGCAATCATAAGGAAGTCTAGAATCTGATAAAATCAGTGCATGTTTGCCATCCTCTCTCTCAAATGCCTTTCCCCCTCTATTAACCCACAGCTAGCACCATCTTTCAGTCAAGCTAAGCTTTCCCAGATTAGCTTTACCTCACTCTGATCACCCTTTCCTGAATCTCCATTCTTTATTCAATAAACATCTTTAGCAGCTACTGTGTTCCAAGTACTTGGTGAAAAAAATATTACTACTGTTAACCCTATGGGTAGGGCTATGCCGTATTCATATCTACTTAATGAAACAAGACATCTACCCCATATTATACAGAATAAAATATAATACTTCATTTATTCTACATCAATTTTTCCACATAAGTAGTTTTCCAGATAATTGCAACTTACCTAAGGTGCTAATTTATTCTTATTTAACAATTTTAAAGGAAAAAAATCTAAATCTATTATACATTTCTCTGCCTTCTTCAAAGTATATATTTTAAAAATAGTATTGACAACACAGTATCATCATGAACATCAGTTTCTATACAGTTACAACACAGTACTGTAAAGCTGTCAGGTGGAAAACCAGGGAGCCACCGCTATAAACTGGAAACATTCTTTTGCACACCATTTTAAATACCATTTTAAATACCATGGTGGGCGAGATCAGCTTTGTATCTCTCCCACAGAGTAAAGTACATAAGCTTTGTGACGGCATTTTCACTGCTGCTGAGCCTTCTTCACTTACTTCTAAATTTCCACCTCAATAATAGATGGTTCAAATGTTGAAGTTTGACTAGTGAATAGGTGCAGTGTAACTCAGCAAGTAAATCAATAAGATACCAGTCACAGATACAAAAAGGATACTGAAGTGACCTGGGGTTGCTAGAGAAAGCTTTCCTAAGAAGGCAGAACTTGAGCTATAGAAAAAGTGAGTCCATCGTTAAACACTTGGAATTCATATCACATTTCCCCTTGTTCTATATATTGCTCTGGAAGTTTGGTAGCTTTTGATCAGTGGGTTATACAGTGAAACTGAATAGAAAATGTGAGACCGTTACATAGCAGTAAGGTAAATATGGTTTCAAGACATTTTGTTTCAGTCAGCGGAAAGCAGAGAGAGAATTGGGTCACAATGTAAAATGTATTTCATAATTTTTATTTCTCAATGGTCAAGGTTTGAAAAACATTACTTGTTATAAGTAAGTTTTTATATATGTTTTGTCTACCAAACTAGGTAATAAGTTACATGGGTTTTCTACCTCTTGGTCCTCTCCACCAAAGCCTGAATGTTAATACATTCAGCAACTGCTAGGGCCACAGGTACTGACAATGGGTACCTGGAGGCTTCCAGAGCAAAGCAGGTATGTGACGAGGCAGTAACAGCCCAATGTTGTATTACCGCTAAAAAAGAACTAAAAATAAATGATCTCACAGAACCACCTAAGCAGAATCTCCTTTCAAACAAAATTGTTTTTACTTTCTTTAAAAAACAACTTTAAAAGAAAAATATCATAAAGGTACATTAAAGATGGACTATATATTTTCTATCAAGGAAAAAAAAATAATTGTTTAGAATCCAAATAAAATGTCTAAGTTAGGTGAAAGAAAGAAGCTCACTTTAGAGTTGAGGAAGGGGTGTTGGTGGGCTTGGGGTAAAATTAATAAACCAAGGATTCTGTTGGTTAAATCACAAATATTTAAAAATAATCAGGGCAATAAATGTAAGGGGTTTTTTTTTTTCCTAATGACCTCAATAATGCTTTTCAACTAGTGCATGAAGACAGCTAGGGAAGGGAAAGGGGAAAGAAATTAAGATAAATCACTAAAATAGAGACACAGGATGAAAATCACCTTAGGAGGTTTTCTTGTTAATCACCTCCAGGTAACCAGAACTGCATATTCTAACTAGGGTTATTCTGACAATGCAAGGGGATTTACTAATAGAACTGGAACTGGAGGGAGAGGTGCTTCATACAGTAATGTGCCCGTCAGCTCTTTGTAGTTAGTTCTTCAGTGCACTACATCTTTTCATAGACACAGGAAAGTGTATTGATATTAAGTTTTAATACTTTTCTTGGCTCCAAAGAATATATACACATATACATACATATATATATATATACGTATATATATATACGTATAATATATACGTTATATATATATACGTATATATATATACGTATATATATATACGTATATATATATACGTATATATATATACGTATATATATATACGTATATATATATACGTATATATATATACGTATATATATATACGTATATATATATACGTATATATATATACGTATATATATATACGTATATATATATACGTATATATAATATGTGTGTGTATATATATATATATATATATATTCTGATTGACATCTAACTCTTAGGCACTGTAAGAAAAAGCATTCAATTTCTTAAGCTCTGATTTGCTGCTATGGATAGCAATGGATAGTCATATTGCTTATGGTTTAAGCAATGATAAAGGTTTTGTTTATAAATAGCAAAATTTCTGAAAGAAAAACTTTAAGGCATCTAACAATTCTTGAAAAGCAATATATAGAAACCAAGTCCTTACCTTACAAAAGAACTAGACATGAGTCCAACGAATCCAATAGCAGCACCCACAGTAGCTGTTTTCCGACAACCAAATATGTCTGTGAAGACACTGACTATTGGGCAGCAAAAGAAAATCATCCCTATGGAGAGAGAACTTACCCATGCTGTAAAGAGATAAAATGGGGACATATTACGAATGACATGGCAAATTATATTTGTACTTATTCCATAATCTATACTATATATTTAGGGAAATATTAATGCAGAAAAGTATTACTCAGACTGGCGAATGGGGGAAAGTTGGAATAAGTAACAAATCTGCATCATAGCTCAAAGGATTGACCAATACTAATTGTAGTTAGCATAGCAATTATTTGTGTTGAATTCTTGAAAAGTTTGTGTTCTCAAATAAATCAAACATTCTTCTATGACCCCAAAATTATTAATCTCTATCCTGATTTTTATGGTTTTAGGCAACTTCTAATCTATGGAAAGAAATTCATTTTAAAAAAAAATAATGACATGTCTAGGAATGCATGCCTAGGGAGTCAAAGTGCAAGGAAATTCTGACAAGTCAGGATAGTGGTTAATTACTGGGGGAAGGAAAGAGAATTATAACCATTTGGGTCCAGTAGTTCAGAACCAAACATTTGCCTAGAGTCTGGGCTTAGTTCTTTAGCTAAGGAAATCAAGCATGTACAGGTGGACTACTTGTTGACCAGGATAATAGTTATTGGGTATTCACTTTATTTATAAAAGTATGCATACATATACATTACCTTCTTTTCTGAAAGTATGTTATCTTTCACAATAAGAAATTAAGAATCAGAAGTCATAATTTCCTGTCCTGATTCTGTAAAAACCAAAAACAAAAGAAAACCAAAATAGAAACAAATACTGAGTACCAATAGTCATAATTTTGTGCCAAAGAAATGAGTGACCTCATAGGATATCAAGTCTGCAAATTCTTCTTAAAAAGTATAATAAACTAATAGGACCTAAGGAAACATGGGTCTGGGTCCAAATCCCCCAAACAGATCTGGATCCAAATATCCCAACTCTGTAATTACAATATGTCCTTGGAGAAGTCACTTTCCCTGAGTCTGTTTTCTTATCTTGCAAGAGAATCAAATACATACCTTTCCAGAATTACTGAGGATTAGAGAAAATATATTTATACCTCAGTATCTAATACATAAGCACTTAATAATTTTGAATTTTAACAACAACAACAACAAACAGAGCTACATCAAGCTCTGAAAATCTACTAGTATATTACTCTATATCCTCAACAAAGGAAGTCAATCCAGACACTATGCAAATAATCAATTCTTAGTAATGGGGTCCAAATGAAACTTTACCAGACTAAGAATCTCATTTACTTCTCTATTTTCTTACATTTTGAGTTATTTTTTAATCATGTTTTAATCAGCCATGTTTCTATTTTCTTTCTTCCCTTACCAAAAAGAAGGGAGACTGTGATCTTAAAACACAATAAAGAGACTGTACAAACAATGCAATCTTGACCTAGGTGTTGGTCGGCGGGGATTCAGAAGTGGACAGTAGAGAGGCAATTGACCAGATGAGTTAGCACAGCCAAAGCCTCAGATGTGCAGAGCTGTTTGTTCAGTGAAGGTCTGCTTAAGGAGAAGTAAGAATTTTTAAGCCTTTTATTAAAATGTTGCCAATTCTTAATAATTTAATCTCATTCAAAAAACTTTAGTCATCTATCATGTTTATGAAACAATCTAAACCATCTGGGCAGACTAGAAGAACACATCCTAACATTTATTTTTGGATAAATGCTCTTTTACAATTAAGTAACATGCCAGCACTAAATAGGAGACATTAAAAAAATCCAAGAGCATATACTTATATTGCATGTAATGCTCATATAAGTCAAGGCACTTTCAAGAATAAAAGCAATTCTTTATGTGTTACTATAGATTCTGATCCACTACTATACCAAGTATGAAAATTTTTACAGATTTTTATGTCCACTGAACAAGCACTAACTGTAGGATATAATCAAATACAACTTTATTTTTGTCTCAACTATCCTCTTAAAATTTACAAAGGGGTGGGGGGATGTCCCCCTGCCACTGGGTGACCACTTCAGCAGGCCCACATGATTCTTCTAACCAATGTTAAATAACATCTATGGTCACGTTAGGTAACAAATCAATCTTCACTTGGTAATCAAATCTTTTTTCCCAGCCCCAGCTGAAAAGAGAGTAGGATCAACTTTGTCTCTTTTCCATGACCTCCTCTCCCCGTCCCTAGCTGTCATTCTCTTTAAAGTAGGCAAAGGAGAGAGGTACACTGGGAGAAGGAAGGCAAGGAGATTCCAACTTAAGTGGTCCTGCCAAAAGGCCTGCCTGATAACGTTTGAAGATGACTCTGTTTTCTCAGATGCACTTTCGTGGGTTCTTCAGACTCTCTCCTCAGAGTTCCTTCTAGCTGTAGCTCCACTGACGTGGATAAGTCATTCTCCTCCTGGCTTTCTAGCTGTCACTTAAAAAACTCACTGTTAGAGAGCCTCACTGCCCTTCTACACAGTTTATCGGGGCAAGAATCAAACAGCTCCAGGCCATCCCTCTCTTCCACTAGGCCTGCCTCTGATCTGCAGGAAGCATTCCTATTTCCTTTGCCCTGACAAACACTGGAGCACAGGCAAATTCCAACACAGTCATCTCTTGGATAGCTCTTGCTGTAGGAGCAGTTACCCAGCTACAGTTCTCTCCTTGTTGGATTTCTCAGAGGATTCAGACCCCCTAAATGAAGAGAATTCTGAGAATTCTCTAAGTGGCCCCTTTAGAGCTCCTCTCAAAGACATTAAGTGAAAAATCATGCACCCCCTCACTTCTCCCATGAGGTGGGAGGAAGCCATGGCATAATTTTCTGAAGGAATCCTCACAAAATGTTCTTCCTTGACCTGTAAGTATCCTTATGGGTTTTAGAGCTTCTAACTGGTTCTCAAAAATGAAATATCTCTCTTTTGAATTTCACACTATTGTACCTTAGTGCCTTAGTTAAAATCCCAGTGGCCTATTCTGTTACAATGATAATTAGCAATAGATGAAGTTAAATCTATCTTCTGATAAAATTCAAGATGAAATTAATTCCTGAATGAATAATTATTTCCCATTGTAAACTCAAAAAAATTCTAGTTTTTATAAAATTTTAATCTGGCATTCCAAAGAGATGCACCATAAAAATAAAATAGACTGTTATTCTCATTCACCTCTTCCAAGTCTAACTCTGATTTTATTAATAATAAAAACTCAAGTGTGTTAGCTGTTGAAATATTTTTGTACATCAATGATCTCATTTAATTCTTAAAACTCTATAAGGTAGTACTTATTATTAGGTTCATTTAACAATTGAGAAACTGAAGTATATAGTCAGTATATCTAACGGTAAAATTTTATTTAAAAAATGCATACTAGCTCTAATCCCTCTATGTAAGTCAACCAAACACTCACAGAGGGTTTCCTAAAATCTCTGAAGAAACAAATCTTTTTCAATGGAGTAAGGGTCTCTACCATTTATGTTCTAAGCACTATCCTCAGCTACTGAGATTTCTCTATTTTCCGATTATTTTCAGTCTAGTAACATATTTGCGAAGAGAGGCCAAACAGAACACCACATAGACTGCTAAATGCCTTAAGAGATATAGATGTCAAAAAATATATAGTAAAAAAAGGCTTTAGAATGTGCTTGTATACCCTTATTTGAATATGTGTGTGTTTCATGTTTTAGAGAGAGACATCCAATAAAGCCAGGTTGTGAAATCTTTTTTTAGAAAATATCAGGAAGCTTTCCAATTTCCCCATCCAGATCCTCTTTGTTTCTTACTCTGTATTGAAAACAAATACTCAGCTCTCAGTGTATATTGCCAAAGGAAAATGCAGATTACTCAAAGGAAGTAGTCACATTTAACATTTAAGAAGATTTTCCTACATATTAAGTAAAATTAAAATGTTGCAATTATATAGATGTACATGACTGGAAGGACAAAGCTTTTACAATTGAAAACACTCAAAGAGAAAATATATTGTAGTCAGTTTAAGGTTGATAAGTGTTCTTTTGCCCTTTTTTTGGTAGCTCCAACCCCCATTTCCACTCAATCTTGGCCTCTTTTGAGACAGTGTTGATCTGTAATATCTTAATGTTGGTCTAATAGCCTCAAATGAAATGCAACACTACTATACCAAACTGAGATTAAAATGCAAAATATTATTTGACTCAGGGCATGGAACTGTCTTGGCAACTAAACAAAAATTCAGGAATGAGTAGCTTGTACTTGACCATCTTACTGCCACCCTAAATGTGATTTGATAATATCTCACTTAGAAGTGGTTTTAAAATTATTTTCTATCAACTTCTGTTAATAGTATCGAAGTGAAGTGGTCAAGCAAACCCTTCTGCAGATGACAACTATAGTATGTGTGCAGGGAAAAAAATATTTAAACACACTGGAAAATGTATAAAAACAAACAGAAGTTGGAGGAGAGTTTATTTTTGAAAAACTGAAACTAAAAGAAATAAGAATTTCAAGTTTGTGGGCTTTCTTGAGAATCAACAAACTATGCAAGTGCTACATAGACTAGTAAGGTGCCAGACAAAAGAAAAGCAGCCACTAAAGAAAAGAAAAACAGCTAAAAGCTGTAAGAACTGAACAGAGATATTGGCTTCTACACACCACAGAGAGTGTTTACAGTTTTAATCCAGATAAGCTAACTATCTATTATGAACGAAATCTTAATCCTTGGAGGAGCAAAACTGAATCAGAGTTACTTCAAAATACAATTTATAATGTCCAAGTTTCAACCTAAAATTACTAGACATGCAAAGAAATAGGTAATCATATTAATGGACTGAGTGGGCTCAGATGTTGAATTTAGCAGAGACTTCAAAATGGCTTTTAAAAATATGAAAGAAGTATTAAAGGATAACGTTTTCAAAGAATTAAATGTAAAATATGGTCTTATTGAATGAACAGACAGAGAATCTCAACAGTGAAATAGAAACTACCAAAAAAAATGGAACTGGGGTGCTGAGTATAATAACTGAAAAATGTATTTAATAGGCTCACTAGCAGATTGGAGATAAATGATAAGAATGGAACTGGGAATTTAAAGACAGAAATTACCCAATCAAA